GGGTGGGAATAAAACCAAATAGATGAGCTGAGCTAATATCAGTTTCCTGATATATAAAGCCAAATGGATTAATGGATTGGCTCATGCATTGCCTAAGGAAACAAAAAGAAAATCTTCAATACTTCTGCACACGTTGAGGACATGAACAATATAGGTCTTTACAAAGTAAAAAACTAATCTGGGGGAATCAATTACTATTCCTTTTTCTTCCCCCCACCCCACTCCCCTTTTCTTTTAATTGAAAGGAGGGTCATGCAGAGGTAAAATTTGGGTAACGTGCAAGCCAGAAGCCATGTGTCTCAGATGCTGTAGTGATGGTCGATCTCAGTCTGCATCAGTCTTGCCCAGGCTCTTTTTAGCATTCCAGCTTCGGCTAATGGAAATCAAGCCCATTATGGTAAATGTAGGAAGCAAGTACATTAATAGTGGGCACTGACATTAATTCAAATGGTAAACAATTCAGAACCGTTCCCAGTACATACTAGATTATGTATCATCTTACCGGCTGCAGCAGAGGGCCATTTCTTTCACTGGTTTCTAAAGTACAGAAGATTGTCTGCCGCGCAGTTTTCTGCTTTGATAAACAAAACTATTTGCGAATCCTGCTTTGCTGCCCATCACTCCTATGTACTTTGTGCCGTTGGGGTCTGGCTGCCACCATTGCGATGCAGATCTGCTCCCTACTTTAAAAGAGATTATTTTGGTGGAAGGAGATGTGGGAAACGGTCTGATGCAAAAGGTAGAAAGAAAATAGAGCTTATTTGTATAGTAACACGTGCGTTAGAGGAATGCCTCCCTCCCCGGCTGGGCGCTCCCCCATTTTCTCTCTCACACACGTATATACACACACACTTTAACTGTGCTTTTGTGTTTTGTCAGAATTAATGAGAAAAGTTCCCTTGCCCTAGGGGTAATTAGTGTCCTTGGAGTTAAATAAGCTAATACTTAGACACCTCTGGCACAGGCAATTATGTTTGTGTATTGAATAATTGATTCAAAGAGGGGGGGAAGGGGCTGCTAATCAGATCTGAGCATAATGAATTGATTTAATTAACAGGGGAATCTGAGGGTCCCTGGGAAATGTGTGCATTTATTCAGCAGTAGGAGAGAGCGCAGAGCACATAAATTGAGAGAGAGAGCGAGCGGGCGGGAGGCAGGCGGCAAGTGCCTCTGCTTTCCGTGATAGGTTCGCAGCTTTCCTCCCTCCCGCCCCCCCGCCTTTGAATATAATTTTAGATTTAGAGTGAAATCGAGAGAAAAGCACTTTAGAAGCCGGGAAAGCTCTCGCAGCCGCAGCAGCGAAGCGGGGAGAGGTTGCGAGCCGCCGTCTGCCACCGCACCGCGGCGATTTCTGACAGCGCGGATTGCGGGAGGACGGAGCCGGGCCGCTGTGCCCCGCACCGAGCTCCGCACCGAGCCCCGCCGGCTCCGCACCTAAGCTGGCCGCCGAGCCGCGCCGGCCCGCCTCTCTGGCCGCTCCCAGAGCTCGTCCCGGGGCAGCGCCCGCCGCCCGAGCTCCGCAGCCCAGCCCGGAGCCGCCCCGGAACTCCCCAGCCAGCCGGAGCGGCGGCGGCCGCCCCCGGCGCCCGGGACGATGGTGCTGGACAAGGAGGACGGTAGGTGGGCCGGGCTGCGGGGAGGGAGGCGGGAGGGAGCGGGCCGTCCCGCAGCCTCACGAAGGGCCCCGCGGCGGCCGCTCCCCGCCGGGGGTTCGCCGGCTGCGGCGCGTCCCGGCCCCGCTGGCCCCGGAGCGTCCCCGCCCGGCCGGGAAGCGGCTGTGCGCCGGGTGCGGAGCTCCAACTCGGCAAAAGTGAGTACGGGGCGGCGGGCGGGAGCGCCTTCGAGCGCGGTTCTTCCGCGGGTTTCCCTCTCTCCTGTTCTCCGCTCTCTTTTGGACGCGGAGCCTCTGCCCCGGGGAGGTTCGAACCCGCCCGCCGCGGAGTCGCCGGCAACCGGGGAGGGGCCGCGGGGCTCCAGCGCTTCCCGAGCCGCGGCCCCGCACCGCCCGGCCCCGGGAGCCGCTGCGGCCGTCCCTCGGAGCCTTCCGTGTACGGCCGCGGCGCTGCAGCCGAACGCGTGCGTGGAGCAGAAGAGGGAGCGAACTTCCCCGGCCCGGCGGAGCGCCGAAGGACCCTCTGGTCCAACCGCCCCGGGCGGAAGGTAAAAGGGGGAAGCGACGGCAGAGGCCGGGATAATTCCTTGCGGCTGCGGAGCGGAGCTTGCCTCTCGAGGGTCACCCCGCTCAGAACGGAGCGATGCAAGTTTTGCTCGCATGTTGCGCGGAGTGTTGGGGGAGGGGGAAGGCTCGCATCCGTCACTGTCCCCTAAGCGTAACAGTGAGCGGGGCGATGCCTTCGTGCCAGCTGTTTTCGCGCCTGCCTGGCGCTGCGGGGGTACAGGTGGGCTGCAGGGGGCGGGGAGCTCTGCAGGGGCTCCTAACGGTGCTCCTAACGCTCTCGTTAAAACACGAGGAGCTCGGGGTTGGTGCTGTGAGGAGACGAAAGCAAGTCTGCTGATTATCCAGACAGTTCTCAGCAGCCTCCTTCCAGGAGTCCTCGCGAGCGGCTGCGTGGAAGGGGGTAACGGTAGCAGAGCTAAAGAGGAAATGAGTGCAGGGTGCGCCTGAAGGGAGTGCAGTGGGCAGCAAACCTCTGAAGAAAGGGATGTGGGGTGGCAGCACTCAGCCAACTGCTGTTGGCCAGGCAGTTGTGCTCCAGGAGAAAGGGCACTCACTTCTAAAAGTGCTGGGGAAACAAGTAGGAGATGAAGTGGAGAGGAGAAACTCTTTATGAAGAGCTCATTTTGCCGTATTGCATTTCTTCCCACTTGATTCAAACGGGCTCTGTGTGCCCATCTGTGGGTGTTAAAAGGGGATCTGCATTACTCCCATAACCGGCTCTATGTCTTATCACAGAGCAGTCTGATTTCTGCCACCTAAAAATCCTGCTGCTGTGGCCAGCATCCAGTTGCTCCCCTTGGTTTGGAGAGGGGTTTGCCATGTGGGGTTTTGGGGGGTGTTTCTTATGTGGTCCTTACCATCAAGGTGGGGTTCACAGCTGTCGCTGTGGAGAGTGCAGGCTGTCGGAGATGGTTTCCCCACCATGCTGGTGCACTACAAGAATGCTGGCCGACTTGTTGGTGGGGTCTGCAGCATGCTGCACTCCCAGGGCTGTGCAGCAAGCTGTGCTGGGGCTCAGGGGCAGTTGCCCACTCACCCAGCCTCTGGGTCTCATTGTAGCAGTGCTTTTGGAGCCATGCAAGCCCTCATGTGACAGCCACATCATCCGTGGGGTCTGACAGCCACTGTACAGCTTCGTGAGTGAAAGCCTTCGTTGGTGCCAAGGGAGGCAGTGGAGGTACTAACACCTTGCTGTGATCTTCACAGTTATCACTGGGGGCGAAGGGACAGGCTGAAAAAATAACAGCAATAATAATGTTTCGGACTCGATGTGTCGTGACATCGTGTCAAGTTGTGTCAGGGAGGTAACGTCGCTCCGTGTGTTGGAAGTGACATGGTGTAACCTGACTGAGACAGCATGACTCGATATTAGAAACTACAGCCTTACCGTTTGGCAAACATCGTCCCGAAATATGAGCTGGGGGGAGAGAGCTGGGGAAAGAACAGAAAGGTGGAGAGCAAAAAAAGCTTCCCCTAGGTTTGCGTTGCAGTCGCTTCCCCTGCGTTCATCGCTGCTGGGTTTGCTATGGGCAAGCCAGCCTACGCACTGCATTGAGGGAGCTCGGGATAATGAGAGTTAAGATACTTCTCAAATACATAAATGTTTTGATTGCAAAGCCCAGATTTCTGCTTAAAAAAGTAAACTGACATGAGGCATCGTGATTAATTCCGACAGATTGTGTTAATTGTCGTTGGCTTTAATTGCGGTACAAACGCGTTGGGGGTTAGGAAACTTTTTTATTGTTGGTGTGTTAAATGAGTAAGCAGAGAAAGCACTTAGAAATAACCATTTTCAAAGGGAGTAGTGCAGCTTCTGTGATGCTATGAAGCAGCAAGGGATGAACACGTATGGGATCTGCACTGCATCAGCATACCGCTGTCTGCATTCCTCCCGTCAGTTCGCTCTGCCACAGAACTCAGCTGCAGTAGGCAGTGGCTAACTTTATTTTTATCAGAAAGCTGCCCCCAACAGTGTGAGTGTGAATGTGCCATGTGTTGTAGAATCAGCGTGTCCTCTTTTAAGGCGATGGGACTGAAACAATGATGGAACATTTTTGGAGTTCACAGATCTCTGCTGAAGGCGGGTCTTAACTTCAGAAGTATTAAGACGCTTCAAGTGTAGAACAGCCCAAGTTCTTGTTAGCTTGTGCCCAATGCTTTCAACTATTAGCCTTAATTTTTGAGTGAACCCTCCTTCTTTTTGGGCCATGATACTTATTGGGTTATTGGGATCAAGTGTTTAGAATGAAAGGGAAGGAAATGCCACCTCAGCTGGGAATAAGGGATAGTACTGCAGATACGCAGCCTGAGCCTGGAGCGCATTGTACGGGTTGCGAAGGGAAAGAAGTTAAAATAGGAATATAGTGCTTTCTGTATCAAAGGCTGACCGAGGCGGTGCGGCTGGTGGCAGCGGAGCTGCTGACCCCGCGAGTTGTGCGAGCGCGGTCCGGTTGAGGGCTGTTGCGAAGCGCAGGATCCGCACTTGTTGCTTTGCGTTCGGTCGGCGATGGCATCTCTGACAGGTGGGGCGGACCTGCGAGCTGATATATCCACCGTAATTGCGACCTAGCGAAAGTGGAGCTACAGTCTGCGGAGCGAGGCAGTAGCGAGCAGCGGGCTGCCGCCGGGTACCACCTCCACTCGCTCTCCGGCGAGCCCGCGCGCTGCGCTGCGTTCCGCCAAGGGGAGCGGCGGCCCCGAGCCCTGCGGGCCGGTCTCCGGGAGGCGCCGGGCCGGGCCGAGGCGCGCGGTGCGTCCTGCAGGGGGCGCTGCCGCGCCGCATCCCGCCGCCGGGGGCGGGCGCCCGCCTTCCCCGCTGCGCTCGGGGCCGCGGGCCGGCCTGCCGGGGTGACGGGCGGTGGGGTTCAGCCCCAAGCCAGAGGGAGACGCTTCATAAAGCTGCGTGCCGGCTCGTTGCGGCGGCCGGGGTTACGGGCCGTCAGAAGCGATCGCATTAAAATAGGTTATGCGCTGTAAATTGAGCCGTTGAGGAGGTGAGAGCCGGAGGAACCGCTCCGATCGTCCTTCTTTCTGAATTGCAGTTTTAGTTCCTCGCAGTTCTGCGGCGCAGAAGTAGGTGAGCCCGCAGTCGATCCCTCAGAGCGCTTTACCCCCCGAGCGCCGCTCTGCCGGAGCGCCATCCGTGTTAAACGCCGGACGGGAGGCTGTCGGAGCCCCGCGCCGCACGAGGACTCTCCCGCTCCGGAGGTCCGCGCTGCCCGAGCGCAGCCCCGCGATGATGGTGCTGGAGCAGGACGACGGTAGGTGGGGGAGCGGCGCCGGGACGCGGCCGGGAACTGCGCGCCCGCGCGTGTCAGCTCCTGTCGGAGGGACCCGAGGGTTTACCCCGAGCTCTGCGTGCAGAAGCGGCTTCGTTTTTATTTTTATTGTTACGTCTGTTTAGATTATTCCTCCTCGAACTCCCTCTGATACATCCATTTTAGCCCGTTTATTTTAACAGCTCTCAATGTAAACCTGATGTTGAGATGTTTTCCTTCCCGTTTCGTATCATTTGGGTCTCCTTAATGTACACCCTTAATATGTATTTCTTGCAGCTTTTCTCCGTAACTGTGCTGATGATAAGCTAATGAGCTGCTCCGGCAGAAAAGCGGTGCCTTCTTGCCGGCTCTAAATGGAGGTTTGCTAGGAGGTGATTGAATGAATGAACGGAAGTAGGACCTGACTTAATTGAGGACTTTGCAGACACTCGATGTTAGGAGCAGCCCTCGCTGCTGGTGGCTGAGGGCTGTGTGTTGATGCTGGCGGGCAGTGCTCAGTGGTACCGAACCCGGCTGCCCGCTCACCTCCTGTGCCCGGGACAGATGCAGTAAGTTCCATCACAACTTCTCAATGAGGATCTGCTATGTTGTGGTTTGAAAATTCCCTGATAACTTGCACACTGCGAGCAAAGAAAGATTGAAGCAGTGGGAGCCATCCGTAGCCATCCATCCCAATGGAATCCCATGCTGGCAGTGCCACTTTGTGTAGCGAAGGCAAGAGCTGCATCGTAGCGCCCAGCACACTGCTGTAGCCATCATCTCCTTGCTCCATCTCACCTTTGTAAGTGAGCAAAGGGCTGTGCTGATGGCTCTGTTGCTGGATTCTCTGCTTTTATTTTCGTAGAATTCTCTTTCTGTGGTTAGAAAATAGAAGTAACCAGCAAGTTTACTTGGAAGTAGGAGAAAACAGTGAATACTTGCAGGCTGTGGACAGGAAGCAGCTTTTCACAGGGATCCAAAGTGCTTGGAGAAAATGGAATGTTCTGGCAGTACGGTGGATTTTACTTGAATGTATGTATTACTTTTAGAAATATTTGAAGAAAATAACTTGCAATTCAAAGTCTCTTGCTTTCCTGTAATTGTGCATTGTGAGCAGTGCGGAAAGCTTCCCTGTTGATAGGTTGGAGCAACATAATTTCTTTTCCCCAATACCTATCTATTTTTTGGTGTTTCAAAGCCAAATTAATCCTGCCCTGGACCACAGTCAGAAAAGAAGATTTGACTGTAATGGAAGCACTCACTTTTAACGAGTCTTGGACTGAAGCTCTTCTCTCTCCCCACACGGCACCCCAAGAAATAATAAGGGGAAATACTATGCTTTGCGTCTAGCATTTTGAGGTCCTTCATCTCCTGACACCTTTGATTTGTAAAATAGTGCAGTGTGCTGACGTGCGTAGAGTTTGAGTCTTGTTTCTGGGATGGAATGTGGATTTTTGTCTCATTCAGGTGTGGAGTGCTTGGGACAACGGACAAAATGTATGTGGGCTTGGATGTTACACACCCAACATTCGTGACCAAGCAGAAGTGCGTCGTTGTCAGTGTCCTCTTTAAGCGGATTCTGATCAAATGTTGACTCAGTGTGGGGTCTCAGCACCCACACGTAAGTTCTCTTGCCCTTCTGAAGGGATTCTGCTCAGTGAAACTGGCATCCTAAAACTGTGAAATAATCTGCAGGTCAAAACACATAAAATCCCTCTCTTGATTTCAGTTCAGAGCTCATAAGTCCCTTTGTTCACGCAGGAGAGCTCTGAAAAAAAGAGGTAGATGTGAAGCATCTGTTACACATCTTCTAGATCAGCTTTGCAGTTGACTGGACTGCGGATAAAAGACACTCTAAGTGGTTGAGCATTGCTTATGCTGGGAAAACAAATGGAGCTAACAGGGTTTCAAAGGCTTTGAAGCAGTGTCGCTCTCAGAGGTGTTCGCTTGTTTTCTTTGGCAATACAAGTTGAAGCAAGCTAGTTTACTTTATTAGAGGCGTAGGGCTACTCTTGTAACCTTCCTCTGACTAAGATGAATTTGGCTGGCTGACCTTATTTCTTACTGGACCACACGTGTTGTGCTGGTCTTTGTTATTTTTTGCTTTCCTCCCCCCCCTTCTTAAGGCTCATCTCTTAAAGGACGGCAGCCTTTTCCATATTTTGTTAAATCTTCCTTTTCAATTTGTGTTTCCCTATAGAGTTGTGTTCTGCTATGATGGAGCAATGCAAATCAAGTAGAATAGCCCAAATTAATTCTTCACATTGGCGGCAGCGTGGTTGCCTGCATGGAATCAATAATGCGTCGTGGAGGGATCAAATTTTTGAGTATAATGTGTGAATAATGCTTGACACAAAACAAAAATTCAGTCATCATAATAGCAATTAGGAAAAAGCTGCAGCTTATCCCAGCTGTAATCTCTGCTAACAATGAAGCACAGCCTAGTAATCAGCATGTATGGTATGAAATGCACTAATAGAAATCACAGTTCTTTGTTATATGTGGGGAGGGTGAAAGTTTCCTTTTAGCTAACTTGTACTGTGTTAACTAGACATCGTATCCTTGAACCAAATTATTGACTCTGCGTGCACTTGTAAAAGCCCTGATCAGCTGTGCATTTGTCCCAGTGCTTGCACAGACGTTAGCACCCCAAATCATGGGTCCTTTGTGTTTTGAAGTAGAACTCTGATTAAATAGACTGTAAGAGTAAATGGCATTGGAAGGGCCGTGTGCCAATACACAAACCTTAGTTTTAATAATAGTAAAAAAAAGAAAAGAAAAAATAAAATCCATAGCTCTTGAAAAATGAGAAGAAAAATGTGAGTACCCAGTGGTTGCGTGCGCCAGCGTTGGAGAACCTCCCGAGTTTGATGGGAGGCATTTAGGGCAATGAACGTTTGGTAATTTGAAGCTGGCTGAGTAGCAGCAGTTGGGTTCCCTGTTGCGTATGAGCCCATCTCACCCTGCTCAGGAGGAAAGAAACAACATTTTGGAGTTGGAAAATTGATTCTGTAATGGCAGGCCACAAGTGTGCCCTAGCCAAGGAGCAGGGCTGCAGGCTGGCCTTGGGAGTACATTTGTGAGCAGCTGTGTGTGTGCACATCGGCATGTGAGCATGGAGGGAGACCTGCTGCCAGGCAGGCAAGCCCTCTGATCTGCTTCTGTTGGTAACAATCATGACACCTGCAAAAGTGAGGCCCAGAAGCCTCATGAAAGTAGCGCTGCATTGGAAGGAGAGTTCTATGTGTAGCTGGTATCTTTTGTTTTCACTTTAAGGCATCTTTCTCACACCTACCTACTGAAGAACTGTGCAAAGGGAGAGGAGGAGAAATGGCAGGCTGGCTGTTTTTCCCTCCTGTAAGATGGAATTTAATTTTTCTGTTTCCAGACAGTCCCAGCTGGTTTTTTTGTTTCTGTCTTCTGCACTTGTCCAAGACCTTCCCTATGATCCATCATTGTCTAGCTATCCATTTACAAAGAAATACTGTGGATCTTCCCAGGCAGTGGCTTATTTGAGGAATGGTTGATGCAGGACACTGAAGACCCCGTATTTCCCTATTTATTTGGATTACCCAGTGGTTTGTTGGGACAGCAATCTTGGCACATGTGGTCTTGGTGTAATTGCAGAGGTTTGGCCTGTCTAGTCTTGTGACTCAGATGCACAGCAGTGGATTCGTGTATTTACGAAACAACAGAAGGTTGTAAAAGCAGGAATCTGAAGAAGACCAGAAGAAATTCTGAAATGCTTCTCCAAATCTGATTAAGGGCAGAGCTGGAGGTAGTCAGGGTAGCCTTCCACAGGTGCCCTCTGCACCTGGACGCGGTGTACAGAGGCGTGAGCCACTGGGAGACTGAACTGCTTAAACCTTTTCAAGAAATGAAAGGCACTGTAGTTGGAGCCCTGAAAACCTAGAGCTCTATTAAATGAAAACTAGTTACTTTTTCTATGAGAAGAAGATGGGTGAAAGGAGTTAGCAGTCCCGATAGGAACACGCTGCTTTGTGTAGCTGCATTGCTGCCAGGCAATCAAATACTTTTAGTATCTGCCTCGATGAGATAGCTGAAAGATTGGGGTAGGCATCTTTATAGGGCATCGTCGTTCTTCATTCCCAGATGCTGGTGAGACGTGCTGGTTGTCTGGTTGACATAAGTGCTCAAACAGCCTATGAATGTTTTTCAGCCCGAGTAACATGGCAGAAGAGGAAGCTGATTCTTGGAAATTAGTAGCACTGTAATTTTGGTTTAATACAGTAGAAAGGATGCTTGATACCCCGGCAGCAGAACATAATTTGTCTTCTTTGGAGTTATTGTTAAATTTTATTATCTTTAATAGCTGCAATGTGAACGTGTCAGCCTGTTTGTCATAACCATCCTGAAAATACTCTCTTATGGTAGAATCTTCGGAAAAATTCCTTTTAAGAGCAGTGCATTATTAATAAAGTAATCCATTAGGTCTGGTGATAAAGGGTCACAGCAGAGTCTGAGATATGTTTCTTAAATGGTTAAGAAATTTATCATGGTTGGAGGATTAATTGATTTCATTCGGAGGCTTTCTTGAGGTTTTCAGGCTTTGTGTTCGGATATAGTTTTCTTCTATCTGCAGATGGGCTTGCTGCTCCAAGTTTTGCTTCCCTATCATTGGCGTGAGCCATTCCGTTCCTGCTAAAGGCAAACTATTCTTACAGCATTATGACCAATTGCATCCGTGAGAAGCCTTACTTAGGTAGAGAACATGAAAGTTTATGGCAGATAAGGTGTTTCACTTGAAATCAATTCGGAATCAGAATGATGGTATCAAGCATTAAGCGTTGCGATGGAAGAATAAAAAAGGCAGTGCAGATGCTGCTAAATGCTGGACTATAAAACTCTAATGGGTCCATATCTTTTTAAAATTGGACAGAACTGTCACCATTTAGAATACACAGACATTGCTTTAAGCCGCATGGAAGGCACTGCCCCCAACTTCAGTAATGTCCGTAACTGTTGCCAGGGAGTGATTTATT